GTCATTAGTTTGACAATAGCAAAATTGCACCATCCCATCTCTGGAATAACATACTCATTATTTATAAGGTGTCATTGTAAAGGGCGGCTAAACTGATAGATCGGTCCCAGTGGCTAAATAAAGTAAGTGGCATGCCCTTCCAGTAGATCGCTCAACCCAATCCTTGAAAATTAAGAACATCGTTGGAATATGGTGTAATACATCTACTTGTACTTATCTGTTAATGCTAATGTTAAAGTGATTAATCAGACGCCACGTCCAGCCTGAGTACTGGTCGTGATGAGGAATTTACTTTTATCTTTCCATGGGACTCTCTGGTTACACTATTGTAATACATTCCAAAATATCTAATTCTACAGTGCTTTATTCTCAAATATTGTCACTGCAGGGTTACCCGCTTGATCGAGCATTGAATTCTTTTGTAGTTATTTCTGTTTGAAGCAATTACTTATCACTGTCAGTGTAAAAATTGAAATACATGAATGAGAAATACTGTTTAAGTAACTTCTACAATTAACTAAACCGTTGACACTTCGTTAGACATCAAGATGACTTTCAAACCGCGAAATATCCATCAGGCTACAAAACACTTCCTTATCATTAAAAATCATTACAAATTAATTCATTATAAAAGTTTCTAAATTTCTTTTGCAACGTTTTAGTCATAATTTTCGAGAAAGAAAGTTAATAGCCAATCCTTGTTTACATTTTCAGCGAACATTGAACATAAAATACAACCAATGTATTAAGAAAACTAGCTGCCTACTTCAATATCGTTACAAAAATCAATAAAAAGTTACAATAGGCACACGACGTATTTTACCTATTATAAACATTAATTGCAGTCGTTGTATATTTAGCAATGTTACGTTATTGTTGCTGCTTTTTCAGTAATTTTTTGCCTTATCTCAACCGCGTATTTGCTAATTTCGATTGGGTAACAGCAATGTTATTGTCGGTCCAGCGGAAACCGGAAAACGGAAATGAAACTTTTTTATTGTTTCCGAGGTATGCTTTCAATGCGGTCAGTAAGAAAGTAACAGAATAAAAACTGAACTCGGCTCCTGGCTACATGATCATCGAAACTTGACTCATTATTACGGTTTTTCATATCTTTTACAGATAATTATCTTCAGAAAATTAATCGTTTGGCTCGAGCTATTTTGAACAATTTTGTATACATAACTTGAAATAAATGAAAGTTAAGAAAACCACGCGAATGTTGTATACTAGTTGAACCCCTTCATATGGTAAAATTAGTACACTCTTAGACTTAATCACCAAAGCTACGTTTGGAAACTATTCATAATCTACTTACAAATAATGCTAGATGAACATACAAATCAAAATGAATCATAAAAGAATTAAAAAAGGCATAAATAGAAAATAAAATAAAAGTAGTTACCAAAAGACCTCCTTATTACGGACACGTGTTTCGCCCAGTTCTAATGTGGACATTATCAACGTGAGACTCATTAACAGTGCGCGAAACACCACAGTAAACAGGTTTTTCTTATAACTAGAATGAGACTTATTTTGTATAAGAACAAAGGCTTTCACGGCCGGAATCCTTAGTAGAATGAAGATTCGGGCTATAGGGCCGTGGTCTAAGTGAACTATTCTGTCCATACGTTTCGTCAGCTACTGTAGGTGACATCCTCAGTGGTAGTGCTGCGTTGACAACGTGAAAGTAAATTATATTTCGAAGTCTCGACAGCGACTAGCGACTAGTTCAGTTAGACCACGGCCCTATAGCCCGAATCTTCATTCTACTAAGACTTATTTTGATTCATTTATCTATTCCTTTATCACAGTCTACATTTTCTACTTTAAATGAGCATTTGTTAATGTAACAAGTTACAATACGAGTAAATACATGTTATATACAACCAGTTTTTAGCAAGTATCGAAATACATTACGGTATTTTAAATGAGGGTCACATTGACATAATTGCAGAGGTGCCCGCATTCTTAAATGAATTTAGAAATAACTGATTACATACATGAATATAATCTATGTTTGTATCTGGAACAGAAACATTGTGCAAAATGTAATCGAATTTAACTAATACTTAATATGAAACAAAAGAATATTATTTAAACAAAATACAGGCCCTAGACAAAAATTTTCAGTCCCTCTCCAATCTCTCAGAGTCTTTCAGCGTCTTTCACAGTCTTTTACAGTCTCTCAGTTATTGCCTAGGTGTTTTTATGGATCTCTCACAGTCTCTGTATGAGACTCGAACGATAAAATTGTTAATTCAGAGATTCGAGTCTCTCACAGAGAGACTGAATGAATAAAACGGAAAAATTGAGAGACTCTAGTGTCTCATAGAAAGACTGGGATCTGTGAAATATGTTGAACTTGAAATTTTAACCATGTCTATCGGAACACCACTTATTGAGAGATTCGTGTCTCTTGTTCAGAGACTGGATACGAAATGAGGATCTCTCTATGAGCGACTCGAGTCTCTCGTTCAGAGACTGGATACGAAATGAGGATCTCTCTATGAGCGACTCGAGTCTCTCATTCAAAGACGCTAAACAGTTTTTTCGACAGTCTCTCTCAGCGACATCTAAGAGACTCGATGAGAGACGGAGACTCGAGTCTCTCTTTCGGAGACTCTGAGAGACTGAATATTTTTATCTCGGGGGGCGCTTTAGAAGCAATTGACAACCTTTGCTACTTCTTCGCATTTAACAGATTTCAAAAATTACAATGGTCCTTTTAGCCTAAAAGACTGGATAACACGAAGAAAACACAAAAAAAGAAAATTTTTAAAAATGAACAAATTTTTTTTGAGAAGCTTTTTGTTTTTAATGGAACGTGCTCATGCAATTAATATCTATAAGATATTATCCTTTTCGCATTTAATAAAAAGGGTGAATTACTTCAAATTGAAAATTTCAACAATACTTATATTCATTAGAGTACCTACAATGAATTTACCGAAAAGTCACGCATCTACATGTTTAAGAAAGATTTAGATTACAGATTGATACTGAATACAAACGGGTGATAATTCTATATTTATTAGGTACTTAGCGGTTTTTACTGAACAGTAATCTATACTGGGTTATAAACCTTGAAGTAGTTACGTGAACAAAGCAGATGTCAACCTGTAGAATTTAAAATATCACATCACTAAAAGGCACATTAATTATGGTTCTCAAGGAGATAGCGTTACAGCATTGATTGATGGAAAACGCATAATGATAGCTAAGTAACACGAGAATTAAATTACTGAACTCCTTCGATGTTTCTTCAATTATTTTATTAAATTTTCGTACTTATTAATTTATTTAATGAACATATTTAAATTGAAATAATATTAATGTTTTGTCTTAATTTGTCTTCAATCTCCACCATGGCAAAACAAAAACGTTGCTTTAAGAATGCTATGTTTGTGAGTCAATTTTTTTAGGGAGTTACACTTAACAATAATTAGTTTATTAACTTTGTTTTTCTTCATTTTTTGTTAAATTAATGCATATAGGCACTGTAACTGTTAAAAGTTAAATAAAATCAAAGAAAATGTAAGAACGTGTATGTTCTACTTTTCTAAGTATTACTGTTTGTGCAGTATGACTTGTGTATCATTCATTGTATTACGGCTACAAAAAATGTAGACTGGTGAATTTAAATGAGAGACAGACATGGCGCCATAAAGTAAAAGTAATGTTAAAAAGAAAAGGAGCCTAGTGACGTTGCATTTATATCCTTGGTTTCCCTAAATTGTGTTGTCCGAAGAATGACGAAACTAGCTCAAGCGTTTTGAATTTATGTTTAACTAATTTTTTTTTATTTTCACAAAGATTACTATTTAAAAATTAAAAAATAAGAATACATTTTTTGTAATATAATACTGTTAAATATTCGATACCTATTCTGTCAGTGTCAAGGTAGAACGACGATTACTCATAGAGCTATAAAATGAGGCAGTTACATTAAAAAACAAATATTTATATTTACTTTTTATTTATATATTTCACAATAGTTTCCTCCAAGAATGATACATGTTCTAGCATAATATGTGTAGGAATTCTGTAGCAAAAATAGTTGATGAAGTAATAGGTTACATTAATCAAAATGCACTCGTGTAAGTACATTTAAATTTCATTCAACTGATTGTAACGGTAACCATTAATTGAATATTTAATTTCATTGTTAATATAATAAGGTAATAAGGTATTCACAGAGTTGAGTTTGGACTGTGGAGGATTAAAACTCGTATTTGTTTTCGCGCATTGGTTATGAAGCCTTTAGTATTAATTTTTTTCTGTTAGATCTCACATTCGCTGTAGAAAAACTTAAATAAGTGAAAATCCTCTACTCACAATGTGAGTAAATTTTTATATATAGTTCATCATCAGCATCATAAGGTCGTCAGTCCTAAGAATGTTTGGACAATCACCTCCACTCTTTCATAACTTCGCATTTCCCTAAAACTAAAAAAATTCACATCCTTAACTGTTTGCAAACAGTAATCTAATTTAGGTCTACCTCCACCCCTCCTACCACCCGCTTCAGCCTCTAATATGTCTCTGACTAGACCTTCATATCTAAGAAGGTGTCCTAATAACCTATCTCGCCTATTTCTTATTGACTTTCATAGAGTTCTCTCTGCTCCTATTCTTTCCAATACGTCTTCATTTCTAACCTTTTCTATCCACGATATCCTCATCATTCGCCTGTAACACCACATTTCGGACGCTTCTAACCTTTTCTTTTCCGCCGCGCACGCCGTCCATGTTTCGCACCCGTACAACGCCGCGCTCAAAACATACACATTTAACAACCCTTTCCGAGTTTCACAAGCATAGAAGTGACTTCTTTTTATTGAAGGCGACTCGACCCTACACTATCCTCTGCTTTATCTACTACTCCATCCGTCCTAGATACCTAAAATCAGTCACTTCTTATAATTGTTCGTCTGTTTTGTCAGTACCGCATCCATTTTATTTGAAGCTATCTCTAACTCCTCCTTGCTAGATATATCGTTATGTAGGTTTTTATTTCGAACAACCCGCCACTGACTTTGTGGTATGTAATGTGTTGTCGAGATGTGACTGATCTAGTGAAAGTTTTTTTACAAATTTCTTCCTTGCATAATACGGCGATTTGTACTTTGCGTAATCGGCTCGTGAGAGGTAAATAATAAAAGTTGTTGCCTTCTCTTGTACAGTTTGTCATTAAGTATACACGGTCAGAGTATCTCATCCAAAGCGGTGCGGCGCGGCATGATCATTCTAACCGAGTTTTTAAAAGTTTCACAAAGCGGATCGGGCTTGTTATCGGAAATACAACATTAACGAACACAAATTATTTAAAGTTATTGTACATTCAAAGTTTAACATTTCTTGTAAGTATGAAGTGTTTCATATTACCGGCATAAAACTGAGTGAAAATAAACTAATTGACAAAATAGTTTAAAATATTAAACTACTTAGCGGGTAGAAGTGTTTAACCGAACTAATTGATGATTAAAGGTAAACATCTTTACTTATAGCTTGTGATGTTAGTCAATAAGATAAATGCATAGTTTTAATTAATGACTGGTTCACTGTTAATTATATTATTTATTCAAACCTTGAACAATGTCATTTTTGACTCTGATTCCGATTGAATGAAATATGCGACCTTATTAAATATGTGAAATATTTCTTGGATATAAAAAGAGTTATGCCACAATATTCAAGTAAAATTTATATTTATTGGTTTTTAATACTTTAATACTTCGCAACGTTTTCATTAACTAATGTCCTTTAAAAACCTTTGTCGAATTTTTTTGAATGATTCAAAATATGTCGAATTTCTAGTAATCTGTATTTTCTTTTCTTAACTACAATTTTCTTTAGCGTCTTTACAGAACTTATATAGTTTAACGGAAATACCACTTTAATCGTTTATCTCTATTTATTCAATTATATTAAAAAATTCATAACGGTATTATGTACTGGAAATACCTCATTATTAATATTTAGAACTCCATATGTTTTGCATCCAATTAGCAAATCTGTATCTATATTTATTTTTAATTATGAAGATATATTTCACGAATACATAGATTTTCGTCACATTAAGCCAAAAATGTATTAATGACGGTCAGTTCTTATCTATTGTGTCACCTTTTGGTCTCTCTTATAACTCTTTTTAAAAAGGTTTTTTATTTATGTAAACACTTTGATTAATTTTAATTGCTTGATTTATTATTGTTTGATTAATACAATTGCGTTACAAGTTCCCAAAGGTTGGGGTAGCTCGAACTAGGAATGATGAGCGTTTACCAAAGCCTACCGCAATGGCTAGGTGCAATAACCCTCGACCATGCAATCGAAAATGACAATAGCAATTTAATTATAATTTTTATATGTATTTACAATATCTTATGTTCCTACGCACTACTAAAACAAAGCCTGATTACGATACCTACCTTCCCATGATTTCTGTTGATCCAATGTCATCGATATTACTACAATGTACTAATTATTATAGATCACGTAACTTTTTTAATAGTAGAACGTAGGCTAGTGGTTATTAATATTACCCCCATATCATTAATTAAAGTTTTTATCAAATATATTAATTATAGATACAATTACAAATCGAAATTATTATGTTTAAAAATTTAAATGTGAAGTACCTAAGTAGGTACTTCAACTTATCACTCGTACTATCTATGCAGTTGAAAATAATAAGCAATTGTTGTAACAGTAATCTAACGTATTTCATTAATATTACGATTTCAAAAACCGACAAAACAAATATTTGCTTTGTTCAAATCACCGTAAATATTGCGTCTCCACTATTTCTAATTGCATAATTGTTTAATAGCATTTAATCATCACTATTAGAACAGATAATTCCGCGATGACCCTCCAAGGTCAATTTTTATACAACAATTTACTTTACACTTCATAAAAACAAA